TTAACTTGGTAGATATCCTGCATTGTAACATAACGCTGAATTATTTTAAGATCGATTTTTATCTTAAACCATAGGTGTAATACCTTCTTTTATCATATAATGGAGAGCATTATCGATGCAATAAACCAGTCCAAAAAACATGATACATGTATCACGATCCAATAAATATGCAAATGAGGTCAACATGTAGGAACTACTTTTATCTCTGTACATTGATTCAATATTGGCCTGCTCAATACACTATTGACTAATATATCCTATAGGTTTAGATAGGGAATATCTGATGTTTGGGTGATTATGTAGACAAACATGGCTGCCAATACTTTGACACTATGATTAATGGGACGGCTCACTCAAACCCTGAATTCAAACGTAATTTCTAAAGTTACTGCATCGATCGAAATGAGTTCTTAAACTCCAATTATTTCAAAAATGGCAGGACATGATAATGATATTGCTACCCTGGTGTTTCTATATCGTAAATATCAAATATTGGGAATAAAAAAATGCATGCTCGCCATGAGCTTGCATAATACAATTAATATTCCTGATGTAGTTTCAAGAATCAGTGCATGCAGGAATTTGAAGCCTCTATTTTGATGAATCATTGTAGCAATGTTTTTAAAATGTTGAGATAGAATTGTATTGAGGCAGCTGCATATCCTCTTCGGAATATGGCAGACTTGCTATTATGTGGCGATGTAGATCCTACTCCTATGTAATATATCATTGTCAACAACATCAACAATAGAGGTATCAATTTCAATAGGCTTTGCATCAGGCTGGTAAAGACTAGTTCAGGTAGACACTTAAATATATATTGTGTAAGAATAATATGTTTGAAAAAATACCAACTATTGTAGTTGGAAGGAAAGCAATTTCATTTTTTTTAAAGAGAATTAAATCTTAGGCGTTAAAAAGAACATTGATTAAAAAAGAGTTCAAAATACCTCTGGACCCAACACAAGGCAACTGTAAGCTATATCAAAGTACACATTCCATATATCACTCAGTACTTCAATTTCAGAAATTGCTAAGGTAGTTTCTCCTGATTTATTGAGCAATGAAACACGCACAGGTTAAAAGTTTACAGTGGGTGCCACTGTGTGTTCAGAGATGTCAAGTAAAACACTCAATACATGCCTATAAACTTACCTGTCGTCAAGCCTACCTGTAAAACTAACCTGCCTGGAGTATGTTCTTAGCATGGGTGCTGTTTAGGTATGTGTTTAAACAAACATAAGCTACATCAACCGTGGACATCAGATATATAAATGTTGAGCCTTATCTCATTCACATTAAAATGCAACAGACAGATATTAACATAATGCAAAACCATCATTGTCGTCGTCATCATCATCATCATCACCATCATCATCATCACCATCATCATCATCACCATCATCAACATCATCATCACCATCACCATCACCGTCTTCGTCGTCATCATCATCATCATCATCAAATTGTTAGTTATGTCCATTATCTTCACCATGGATGTTGTCGCTTCTATTTATCATTATTGTTGTTATGGAATACAACTAATTTATCAGGCAAGTCCACAAAGTCAATAAGTCAACCCTGTCTTCATACATACTACAGCTTATAAAATGTCACTTATAGATTTTTTCTTTTGAGAAAAACCTTGCTCCAGTATATATATCAGAAACAACCAAATTCTTATCTGTCTACAAAAACATTTGCCTCCCCTTTCTGTATCACATATGATCAAATCTTAAAACACTTTGAGAAAAACTCTGACCCCAGTGTTTGTGTTAATATCCAAGATCTCATCCTTAAACGACTCCCTACTGAGAAGAACGTGCCCCTTCACGCTGAACATTTCCCCACCTTGCTCATTTCAAAGGTTTGTCTGATAAAGCTATCGACAAGTTTGTCCAAACAATCCAGTCATAGTTCTAACTAACACAATTTGTTTCTGATAAAACAATTCAAAGTGGCCATCAGGCTCTTAATCAGGATGTGTTTACAGAAACTTCTTTGTCTGAACATGGCGATAAAACAATCAGAGAGGTATACAACAACATGGAGGTGAATAATAGGTCAAACAACAATTAAACAGCGTTAGTCTCGAACCTACAAAGAACAACATTCATTAAACTGTTGAGGTCAACTCTGTGTGTTTTTATACTGTCTAGATCTAACCATGGTAGTTGCATACAGGTAATTGAGAAATAGGAAGTACTGTCCATACAACTACTTGGGATGGTAAAAACTATGGGATAATTGATATGATAAATGTATGGGAGGCTCAAGTGTTTTGACATGACATATGTTGTGAAAATGATAAATGTTTAGACAACTGATAAAATAGGAGGTGGTAAGAACAAAAATTGTACTGATGGCGTGTGTGTTTCATAAGATGCTTTGGAAACTTGCCAGAAGATGTGTTCAGTTAAATACATATGAACCAGTCTAATCACAAGCTGAATTTCAGTATCTATCTTTCGTGAAGCAACTTCGAAATAAGATTTCTTGAAAATGTAGAAACATTGGCTCAGCAAGAGAGTACCCCCCATATCAGACTCTCATTTCATCTGTACTCCTCAATCTTGCCAGTGTTATAGTCAAATAACTTGACATCAATATCAGACTTGTAGATTCCCATTGCACAATGTATGAAACCAAATGGACACAAAGTACCTTTTGAGAAAAGACAGTATGAGAGCAAATCAAAACCAAATTGTCAAGGTTACAGTATGACCAAAATTCGCAGTGGGGAAAGTATGAGCCTAATTCTCAGAGGGAAAGTATGAGCCCAATTTCCAGTGGGAAAAGTCTGACTCAATTCCCCATGGAGAAAGTATATAGCACAATTCCCAGTGGGAAAAGTCTGACTCATTTCTCAGTGGGGAAAGTATATAGCCCAATTCCCAGTGGGAAAAGTCTGACTCAATTCCCAGTGGGAAAAGTCTGACTCAATTCTCAGTGGGGAAAGTATATAGCCCAATTCCCAGTGGGAAAAGTCTGACTCATTTCTCAGTGGGGAAAGTATATAGCCCAATTCCCAGTGGGAAAAGTCTGACTCAATTCTCAGTGGGGAAAGTATATAGCCCAATTCCCAGTGGGAAAAGTCTGACTCATTTCTCAGTGGGGAAAGTATATAGCCCAATTCCCAGTGGGAAAAGTCTGACTCAATTCTCAGTGGGGAAAGTATATAGCCCAATTCCCAGTGGGAAAAGTCTGACTCAATTCTCAGTGGGGAAAGTATATAGCCCAATTCCTAGTGGGAAAAGTCTGACTCAATTCTCAGTGGGGAAAGTATATAGCCCAATTCCCAGTGGGGAAAGTCTGACTCAAGTCTCAGTGGGGAAAGTATATAGCCCAATTCCTAGTGGGAAAAGTCTGACTCAATTCTCAGTGGGGAAAGTATATAGCCCAATTCCCAGTGGGGAAAGTCTGACTCAAGTCTCAGTGGGGAAAGTATATAGCCCAATTCCTAGTGGGAAAAGTCTGACTCAATTCTCAGTGGGGAAAGTATATAGCCCAATTCCCAGTGGGGAAAGTCTGACCCAATTCCCAATGGAGAAAGTATTACTCCAATTTTCATTGGGAAAAGTCTGACCCCAAATCCTAGTGGGGAAAGTATATAGCCCAATTCCCAGTGGGGAAAGTCTGACTCAAGTCTCAGTGGGGAAAGTATATAGCCCAATTCCTAGTGGGAAAAGTCTGACCAAATTCTCAATGGAAAATGTATGAGCCCAATATCCAGTGGGAAAAGTATGACCCAAATTCGCAGTGGGGAAAGTATGACCCAATTCCCGTTGGAGAAAATATGACCCAATTCCCAGTGGAAAAAGTATTACTCCAATTCCAAGGGGGAAATTATGACTCCAATTTCCAATGGGGAAAGTATGACCTAATTCCAAGTGGAGAAATTATGACACAAAAACATATTGGAAAAAGTATGACCAAAATTCAAGTTGTTACAGAATGGCCCCAAATCCCATTGAGAAAACATGGCCACAATTCCCACTGGGGAATATAGGACCCCCGTTCCCACAGTAAAAGCATGAATCCCAAATCCCCATGGGAAAAGTTCTACTTACAACCTCCATTGGGAAAGTATGATCCAAATCCCCTAAAGGGATGGCATGATCACCAGTCCTCCTGTAAGGGACAATAAAAATACAGTAAATTACGTTTAGAATGAACACGCTTATAACAAACAGATGGATATAACAAACTGTTCATTTTTGTCCCAGCCATTTGCTGTATATATGCTTATAATGAACTACGGTTATAACAAACTAAAATTGGTCCATTTGAGTTCGTTATAACTGTAGTTTACTGTACCCAAGGCTACAGCATCAAGATGGATAAAACACTCTTTGAAAAGTACAAATCTTTGTTGCACCTGATAGTCAGTAACAACACAGGAAAACTTTAAAAATAGACTTTAAAAATGAATAATGATACAGGTAGCTCCAATCAGACTCGAAACCGGACGATGTGAAAATATACCTGTTGATGATAGGCTGTGTCCAATGTGTGATAAAAATTGTGTTGAAGACGAGTCGCATGTTATTCAAAACTGTTCAATTTACGATGATCTAAGAAGAACCCTCTTTCATGAAGAATAATATTCTCATCCAAAAATCTATGTTTTTACCAGAAGCAGATAAATTTCTAATGCTACTTACTCAACCTGAATTAAACTTTTATTGTGCCCAAACCTGTTAATATCTTCAGAAGGTGTCAAAATTACTTATATAAATGCTTTTATAAAACTGTGTATACACCTGTCCATTAATATTTTAACATTTAATTACTCTAAAATTCTATTTATCATATTTTTAAAGCTTTTACAGTCTCTCATAATTCCATCGGAATGTGTTGCGCATTATTTTAATCATGTCTTATGTATATGTCAATTCTATGTAAAGCCAAGGTGAGACTTCAATAAAATCTATCTGTCTGTCTGTCTGTCTGTCAACCCAAACCCTCTTGGAGAAGTATGACCCAAAATGCCCCATTAGGAAGGTACACCCCCAAATCCCCAGAGTGAAAGTATTCCTCCAAATGCCCAGAGTGAAAGTATTCCCCCAAATCCCCAGCGTGAAAGTATTCCACCAAATGCCCAGAATGAAAGTATTCCCCCAAATGCCCAGAGTGAAAGTATTCCCCCAAATCCCCAGAGTGAAAGTATTCCTCCAAATCCCCAGAGTGAAAGTATTCCCCCAGATCCCCAGAGTGAAAGTATTCCTCCAAATCCCCAGAGTGAATGTATTCCCCCAAATCCCCAGAGTGAAAGTATTCCTCAAAAACCCCAGAGTGAAAGTATTCCTCCAAATCACCAGAGTGAAAGTATTCCCCCAAATCACCAGAGTGAAAGTATTCCCCCAGATCCCCAGAGTGAAAGTATTCCTCCAAATCCCCAGAGTGAAAGTATTCCCCCAGATCCCCAGAGTGAAAGTATTCCTCCAGATCCCCAGAGTGAAAGTATTCTTCCAAATGCCCAGAGTGAAAGTATTCCCCCAAATCCCCAGAGTGAAAGTATTCCTCCAAATCCCCAGAGTGAAAGTATTCCTCCAAATGCCCAGAGTGAAAGTATTCCTCCAAATCCCCAGAGTGAAAGTATTCCCCCAAATCCCCAGAGTGAAAGTATTCCCCCAAATCCCCAGTGTGAAAGTATTCCCCCAAATCCCCAGTGTGGAAGTATTCCCCCAAATCCCCAGTGTGAATTCAGTATTCCCCCAAATCCCCAGAGTGAAAGTATTCCTCCAAATTTTTCTTTCGGAAAATATGACCCTGCACCCTCACAGAGACTTTAAGAATCTGAATAGCAACAGTTTGTTACATCAGTTGAATGATGTTAAATAGAAATAATTACAAAATGGCAACTATAAAAGTGTATTCTATCTGCAAATATTGTATTAACATTATGCTTTAAATAAATGTGACAAAACCATTTCCAAATTCATAAATATGAAACATCGATCAGCACCAAAGAACAACCAGTCTCGATTATCTGACAAAACAAGTACAAAATAGTTGTGAAAATTATATGAAGGGACCACTGAAAAACAGTGATGACACCAGTTGTTCGTGAAAAGGGTATCTCTGTCCTGCTCTATCAACAGCACCCGCCACTCACACAATCTGCATAAAGAAACCTCTACCAGAAGCAGAGTTTTTTGTTTATGATTCCAACTATATCACAAGCACGAATTTATGAGTCGCTATCAAACAGCGAAGAGACAAGGTCTTCACGAAAAGGTGCTAGTAAGGTAAAGTTACCACCAAAGTCACGTCCAATATGAACTAATCCAACCAACACTAACTAACAACCTGTTAATACTGCAATACACAGGAAACTAACACCCGTGGACACGTCCTAACAATAGTACTATCAGATTCCACTATATCGACACACACCTCTCCCCCACCATCAATAATTCCAGGTTATGACCTTCCTGTAGTCATTAAGCTCTAGAGCCATATTCCCGCCTGTGGATTATTTAAGTGACGATAAGCTCTTAAACACTCCCTTGGATACAGTAAAATTTTAAATATTTGTTCAAAGATTACCTTTATTTTATCTTAATAAGTTTCTTGATAGTCTAACCTTCTGACCTGCAGACATGTCTCGTGTCGTATAATGATGGGCGTCCATATTGAAATATTCAAATTCAGATTTGCACTTAATGAATTTATGATGGGTGTTTGGTTATGAATATTCATCTAGTTTAGGGTTTATTTGTCTCAAAGAGTCTTAAATGGATTTAGTGAATTAATCAATAATCTTTGTGACAGCAGTATGAAGTCCAATGTAGCATAACTAAACTTTATCATCCTAGTGTTAAACTTTATCAATCTTGTGTAACACTTTCCTTGATGTAAAACAACTATATCAAAAGTGCCTGCCTTCTTATTTGTTATTTCCAAAGGAAAAAAAACCTTGTAATGTTAAACACAAGAATGGAAATGAAAATGAAAAGGACAGTTTTGAAATCAAGGAAACATCCACTGCAGCATGTTTAGTTGACAAACACTTTACCTCATAATAGATAGTGTTATCGATGTGATAAACCATTGCAATAAACTTGATATCACGTTCTGATAAATATGCAAATGAGGTCAATAGGCTGGAACTACTTTTAAATGCCATACATCAATGCAGTGTTGCTTAATATAAAACTAGTGCACTCATGAATATCCGGGGTAGAATAGGTCTTAAGCAACCCATGCTTGCCGTAACAGGCGACTAACGGGATCGGGTGGGCAGACTCACTGACTTCGTTGATATATATCTTGGTATCCCAATTGTGTGGATTGATGCTCATGATGTCAATCACTGGATTGTCTGGTTCAGATTCGATTATTTACAGACCGCCATCATACAGCTGGAACATTGCTGAGTGCAGCCTTCAACAACAAAACAACAAACAAACAAACTAACAAAACTAGTGACTAATATTTCAATTAGATTTAGATAGGTGTTTCATGGGTGGGTGGGTGGGTGGGTGGAAGAGTGAGTGAGTGAGTGAGTGAGTGAGTGAGTGAGTGAGTGCGTGCGTGCGTGCGTGCGTGCGTGAGTGAGTGAGTGAGTGAGTGAGCGATTGAGTAAGTGAGTGAGCGATTGAGTCAGTGAGCGATTGAGTCAGTGAGTCAGTGAGTGCTCTCAGGACAGATGCTCTATCCACTAGACCACAGGGATTGTCACAGAGTAAGTCAGTAATTTAAATTAAGTTAATCAAACCAGTTTAAATGAAATAATAGGCAGTTCTAGCTCGCTATATGAAGTCAGCATTCAAAGTTGTTGTTTTTAAATTTTATAACATATTTATTTCTAAATTTTATAACAGAAATTTATTGTGTGATAAAACATCCCTATTCTGTGAGTGAGTGAGTTCAACAGTATTCCAGTTATATCACGGTGTGTCAGCTTAATGTGGGAGGAAAGCCCAAAGTGAAACCGACGAGTATGGGTATGGTGCTGACAAACCTAGAAACATAATTTGGGGCACATCAGGATTCAATCCCACGATCATAGGTTTCTGCATTCGCAAGGGATGCAACTCTGCACAGCGAAATGCAGCGCCTTACATGACTGGGCAATCTTCCCCCCTAGTGCCATTGTAACATCCAAGTGTGCCAACTCAGACACATTTTATGGACTGTTTAATTTCTCTTGAATACCATTTTCTTAAATCCAAGACATTCCACAGTTTGTCATTATTCAAATACATCTTTCTATAATCTCCGACTCCCAGCATATGTTAAATTACCCCATAAAGTTGATCCCTTATGATCATACATAATGGTCTGAAGGCACTGAACCACATCATACAGTTATTTCATATTCCAATTTAGTTTTCTTTTTTTCTTTTAGAACTAAACTGAAGTTACGCATGACATTTTAAAGCAAAAAAAATAAAACAGGTATTTATCGGCTGAAAAGGGCTAATACTCTGAACCAAAGATCATGATAATGATTTCTAAAAAAATTAATATTTTTTAAGTTATTTCAATTTAGCAACCCCCAGGATTAGTCTAATCTTTTTATATTACAACATAAATCAATACAATACTTCCACAGTTTATATTTCAATGGCTGGATATCAAAGGACAGGCAATTCAGTGCAATTCCAACTAATACCCCTAACCAGAGATCTACACAGATATATTAAGATACCACCATTAGATAAAGGTATTATCAAAGAATTCATGCCCTTTACACATTAATGTCCTCCAGGAATTCCAGCCCATCATGCATGACATCCGGACAATGACCTTCTTGTAACTTGTGACAATTTAATGCCCCTTTGCACAAGAATATCACACGAAATAACATCCTTTTGTTGCTAATGGTTACAAAAGTCTATAGAATGTGGCATAAGGCTTTTCCCAATGAACACAATACTGTTATGCTTCATTCTTTTCTCCGACTGAAATTTTGTCATTCGGAGTTAATCCAATACACTGCTCAGCCAGCAAGCTTCCCTGGGATTCATCCATTTTTGATAAGACTCATGTGATTCATTAGGTTTACATGAAGTTAGAAAGAGTTTATTTAGCTGGAAGAAAATCAGAGACTTACGGGAGTATGTTCAGGGTGACCCTTTGAGAATCTGCTTCATTGTGTGTTGGAGTTGTGTATGGTTGTATCAACATCCGCTGTATTGCAAGGTGTTTTTAGCTGTCACGCTTTCTTAAACTTTGACAAAGTCTTCATGTTTATTGAATTGGTAACTTTAGCCTGTCTGAGATCTTTTGCGAAATTCTTTAAAAATATACAAAGCATTAATTCCATCTCATTGCAGTCATTTTAAGGTCGACTTAATTCATTATATAGAAAAGCAATAAACGTTATACATTGAAACTGACCAGTGGTATAAATTTCATATCATCATTGTTCCTACATCAATAACTGGGCTTGTACAAGCCTTTATTAGATTTTGATGGTGCTTTTATAGCCAGACACTTATGGTTTCAACAGAATGGCCATTGTTGTCTCTTGCAGACCTCAAAGGAACCTACCGTGTACAGATTTATTTTCTTTCACCTATCATATTTTCAATGTTAATAATCTAATATATAATCATATAAACCATTGACATTAATATCATAAAAGGGCACTGTGTTTTTCACGTTACTGGTACTTTAAATCTTACATGTGTCTGTCCTTGGACTAAGATGAATGAATGAAACATCTGTTCCAAATCAGTTGAAGAATTGGTAATGTAACTTTGTCAAATGGGGACATTGAGTGTTTATGAGGATTCAAGTGATGGCAGAGATTATGTGAAGAGAGTGGGTGGGTGGGTGGGTAGGGATGAGCATGAGCTAGTCTTTGATCAAAGCCAATACGTATTTACTCCTCGTCAATTACTGACCTACTAATTGACTTACTTAAATTACTGACTTACTCTGTGACAATCCCTGTGGTCTAGTGGATAGAACATCTGCCCTGAGAGCACTCACTCACTCACTCATCTTGAGTGAGTGAGTGAGTGAGTGAGTGAGTGAGTGAGTGAGTGAGTGAGTGAGTGAGTGAGTGAGTGAGTGAGTGAGTGAGTGAGTGAGTGAGTGAGCTGACGAGGAATAAATACCTACTTGCGAGTGAAAAGATGAATGAGTGAGTGAGTTAAGGAGTGTAGAAGAGAGTAAAGGAGTGAGTGAAGGAGAGAGCTGACGAGGAGTAAATACCTATTGGCGAGTGAGTAGATGAATGAGTGAGTGAAGAAGTGAAGAAGAGAGTAAAGGAGTGAGTGAAGGAGAGCTGACGAGGAGTAAATACCTATTGGCGAGTGAGTAGATGAATGAGTGAGTGAGTGAAGAAGTAAAGAAGAGAGTAAAGGAGTGAGTGAAGGAGAGCTGACGAGGAGTAAATACCTATTGGCGAGTGAGTAGATGAATGAGTGAGTGAGTGAAGAAGTGAAGAAGAGAGTAAAGGAGTGAGTGAAGGAGAGAGCTGACGAGGAGTAAATACCTATTGGCGAGTGAGTGAGTGAGTGAGTGAGTGAAGAAGTGAAGAAGAGAGTAAAGGAGTGAGTGAAGGAGAGAGCTGACGAGGAGTAAATACATATTGGCGAGTGAGTGAGTGAGTGAGTGAGTGAGTGAGTGAGTGAGTGAGTGAGTGAGTGAGTGAGTGAGTGGGTTCATGGTGAGCGATGCATTGGTGTAGTACAAATGTATATGTGATCCAACAAATACAAATAATGCTTAACAGTGAAATACACAGATCCAGCCTCCGTATCACACACTGTGAGGCGGCCACTTGTAGAAGGAATGGAGCCGTGAGGTTCTCCTCGTGTATGGCAGTGGTACT